AGCATCAAGACTATGGCTATTCCTTGTAGTATGCTTATTTCATGCAAAAAGGAGCATCACATGACAAAAAAAAAAAATACATAAGGTTGAAAGGGTCATCTTATCTGAACCTTCTCAAGGCACCATTGTTTCTGTCCAAACATTTGTCCTGAGAGTCCAGAAGGTTTCATGTACAGGTTAAATGATGGAGATTCCATAACCTATCTAAGCTCTAGAATGGATTACCTAACCACCTGTATAGTTAAAAAGTTCTTAATATACAAGCTTATTTCCCATTGTTGCAATTTAAATCTATTACTTCTTGTCCTGTCCCCTGTGATCATCTTATCTTTATAACAAACCTTTTTTCTATTCAAAAACTAGCAATCAACCACCTTGCGCCGTCTTCTTTCCAAACTAAATAATCCCAACCTTTGCTCACACGTCATGTTTCTTAGACTTCTAAATATTTTTGTTCCTCTCATTTCTAGGTTCCTTCCAATTTGTTCACAACTTCTTAGGAGTGCAATGCCTAAAGCTGGACACGATACTCCAGGTGAAGCCTCCCTAGCACTGAACAGGGTGGAAGAATCAATTCTGATGATTTTCATAAGACAATCCTGTTAATACATCCCAGTATACAACTGATTTTTTTTGGGGGGGGGGGGGAGGCAGAATACTACATTGACTTACATTCAATGTATGGTCCACTATAACCCCCAGGTCCTTTTCTGCAGCAACAGTCTAGTCCAGGGATGGGCAAAGTCCAGTCTATAGTGGACTCCACTTTCCAGCAGCCCCTGCCCACATCACTGTGGCTGGTTTCAATGGAGACACCAAGAGTGGTGGAGCAGTTGCCCAGTTAGCTGCTCCAGGGCCAGGATCCTGCAGCGGTGACAGTGTGGTCCAGAGCTGGGGCAGAGCTGTGATCCACTGCCCACATGCCCTGGGTAGGGACATGCAGGCAGTGGATCATGGCTTTGTTTCAGCTCTGGACCACGCTAATCACCACTGCAAGATCCCACCCCTGGTTGTGGAGCAGCTCCCTGCCCAGCCACGTGCCCTGCCCACACACTATCACAGCACTGCCATGACTGGGGTGTCCAGGGAAACCAGCTGCAGCGATGTGGGCGGGGGCTGCTGGGAGATGGAGTCTAGCTGCTGGCTGGATCTGCCATTTTGCCCACTCCTGGTCTAGTCAGTCATTAGCTGTGTACTTGTTCCATCTTAATTGCTGTATTTTGTACTCGTCTTTCCTTAATTTCTTCTGATCTCTTTCAGACCATTTTCCAACTGATAATTTTCAAGCTAATTCTGTCCTCCAAAAGTATCTGCTACTCTTCCAGTTTGGTGTCACCTGCAAGTTTACAAAGTGTATACTCAATTCTGTGCTGCAAATCATGAATAAGACACTGAACAGCACCAGGCCCAGGACAGTCCCCTGGGTTCCTCCTCCTAATACCTTCTTGGAGCGAGACATTTGAGCATTCAACAACTATTTTTTGAGTCTGATTATCCAGAGAAGTTATGTACCCACTTTCCAGTAATTCTGTCCCAACTGCATTTCCTCAGCTTACTTGTGAGGATGTCATGGGAGACCATGTCAAAAGTCTTGCTACAGCTGACAAGGCTCTTTGGGTAAATCTGATATCTTTTATTAGACTAACTTATTTTAGATGTGCTAATAAAAGATAATCAGATTTGGTCTAATAAAGGACATCAGATTTAGCCAAAAAAAATTTACCCAAAGAAACTTGTCTATCTTAGACCAACATGTCTACGACCAACACCATTGCTACAGGTGAGGTATATTTGCTTCACTCTCCTTCACAAAGCTGTCACCTGCTACTCATGGTTGCTGATTCCTGCCAATTTGCAGCTAGCAATAGATTGGTTTGAGTAAGTAGAAGGATAACTGCCCTCTAAAGTCAGCAGCATTATTTTAAAAAAATATGTATTTGTATTGGGTTATTTTAAAGTGTTCAACTATTAGAGGCACACATGTTCTTCCCCCATCTAGTGGCCAGTTTCGGTTTCAGCCAGTTTCATACAAAGTAGAAATCTCATACTCACTTGACATTGGGACACTCATCACAGACAACTTCTTGAGTCATCTGGAAACGCCCAGGGCCAAGCTGGGTGGTCCTCATCTCCTGTCGACAATTGCATTTCCGCTTGCCAGGTGCTTGTCTTGCTACTGGCTTGTTTCTAACAACCTGCAAGGGAAAAATATATCAAAGACAGATGGCAGTGATACTTCAGACAGTTCTGAGCTCTACGCCCTTGTAAATAACTGAGAGGTATCAGTGCTGCTCTTCAAATTCTAACTGCCTTTGCTCTTGGAAATGCATTCCTAAATCCAGTCTTCAGTTTTCTGCTTCCTACTGAACATACAGGAAGTACTAAAATACCAGAGCAGCTGCTCTAAGGCCCTCTGTTTGTTACTTTGCTTTTTCACATTTGTTTCCTAGATGCTTTATACCTTTCTAAATGGAAGAGGTCATGATCTGAAGCATCTGACAGAAAGATTAAGTATTTTGGGCAGCTGAATAAAGCACCATATGCAGGAAGTAGAAAGTTGCCCCCTAATCAGATGCATTTTTAACAAATTCTTGCTTTGTATGTGGTTATTTTAAAGTATCAAACTATTGCAGAGGCATCTGTCACTGAAGACAAATGTTTGAAGGCTGCATGCTGTGCAAATATAGTATTTTTCTTTTTTTATAATGCATCAAGGTGCAAAGCTCCTGTTGGTATTTTAAAATCTTTCATTTTTGTCATGGGGCTCAAAATCAGACAGGATTTTTATATAGAGATGAAAATGCTTTTGAGGACAGGATTGGATACAAATACCTAATTCACTCAAATGGGCAATAATTTTTTTTTTTTTTAATATCAAAGAAACCCAAGGACATTAAATGTAAAAAATAATAAGAAGAAATTAAAATTTAAAACCAGAAGCCCAGGGAGACTCAGAAAGCTAAAGTTTTACCTCCAGATTCAGCCATAACTGGGTTATATTTTAGACACTAGGGTTTACAGTTTACATGCATAATACCTATAATGAAACTTGCACTGTATTTGTTTTAGAAAATAGTTTTAAGCTGCCCATTTTACACAGATGCTTAAAATACAATTCTCATTTAACTCAGCATTTAGCCTGTAATTTAACAGAATGGTTTACCAGCAGAGACATGACTAGTTAAAGGAGAGCACCACGTGTTTACTAAGTACACAATCTAGACCGTATATTGTGACAGGTATTTGGCTGGGTAAAAAGAACCTCTAACCTCCTGCTTTAATTACATGAACAGGGTGACAGCTGCTTTGTTGGAAGATGCATTACTTGATGTCAAGAGCCCAAGTCCAGCTAAATAAACCCTGCATCTCTTGCTCAGTGTTTAGTCTCTCTCCTGCAGCTTTCTACTGTTTCACACTGGCCCATCTGGAATACTACTTTCTGCACAGTGCTTTTAGTCTAAAGATCAGTATCCAGAATAGGGTGACCATCTGTCCCTAATTGGGTGGGAACCTCAAGTCCTGGTCCTGGGTTGCATGATTTGGGACAGAATTTGTCTTGGATTTGCAGTGCCATACAGGGATCCACAGGAAGTGGTGGGCAGTGGCAACGCATAGGGGATGCACGGGAGTACACATGCACCCCCTGGTACTGGCCGCACTCACTGCTTACGCGACGGGCTGCAGGCAACAGTGCGTGCCCCCCCTACAAGCGCCAGGCAGGGAGCGGCCACAGGGGGACCCCCCGGTGAGATTGGCCATGGGGGGACCCCCCATTCCCTGGGAGGGCATGTGCCCCGCCCCGCCTAAGGTGGAACCAGTTGCCCATGATGGTGGATTGCCCCTTGCAGGCTAGCAGCATTCCAGCCTGCAAGGGGCTGTAGGAGTGGGATGCAGGGGCATGCTGCATGCATGTGCATGCCCACAACATGTGCATGTGACCAGAAACACAGCCAGGCAGGCTGGACAGCAGCTCCCTGCAGGTAAGTCTATTGTTGGGGGGGGAGGAGGGGGAAGATTGAGGCCCCCCCCCAAGGTGAGGGAGGGAGTGGGGCAAGGGCATGGGGCTGGGAGCAGGATGGAGCTACAGGGGGCACATGCCCCCCAAAATGTGTGTGGGGTGGATGTGGGCTGACCACTGTGGGCTCAGGGCTCCCTGCCCTGCTACCCTACCCCTGGGGGCCCTGGTGGTATAGTTGTGCACCCAGGCAGCACATGGAGCTCCTGAAAGAAAAGCAGTAGCGCGGGAAACCTGAAGCCTGCAGCGGGTAGCCCGCATCCACCCCTGCTTCACTTGGCTCTGGTCCAGCCATGCTGGCACGGTAAGATGGGCATGCATCCCGCTTTCCCCTTTTGAAAAGGTGGTCACCCTGATCCAGTATTTTAGAAGCAACAACTTGGTTTTATGTGGAGCAGAAATCAAGACAGGACAGAAATCCATCACAGATATGTGACTGGACTCTAAGTGCCCCAGTGAGGTGATTAATTTACCCTTTTCTGCAAGGATGACACCAGAACACAATGTTTCAGAAATGCCAAGTGTTAAAATTTTCCTTCTAGATACATTTTTTAATGCAATCAAAAGTATTTCTTTGTGGTCAAACATTCAGGGGCTGGGAAGAAGCCAACAAGCAATACACTTATTCAGGTGTTAGCAAGTCTCAGTATCCTCTCCAAACATGTGTTGTTTGTATCCCTTATCAGATATTCTGGTAGCAAGTAACTCATGCTTTTGTTTTTTAAAATACAAATGCACCATGCCCACCAACGGCCAGGCTAGCAGCCATCAATAATACCAACAGTTTTGTGAAGAGACTCCCACAAAGTTACTTACTTCCACAAAGTTTCCTGAATATACTTCTTCCAGTGTAACTTCCAGGTCCACAACGATGTCACTTCCTCGTGGAATGTTCCGGTCTTGTTGACGAGGATTTCCTCCGAACATGAAACCGAAGTCCCCAAAAAAGCTACAGAGTAATGGACATTCATTAAGTTAGGATGAAATTTAAGTTAACATGCAACTTTAATTTAACACGTAACATTAGAAGCAAAGACTATACTTGCTACGACACATCAAAGGCTAATATAGCAACAGGCTTGCTTGAAGACTCCTGTTGTCACCGTGTGAGATGCACTGCATAGCATACTGAACGCTAACAATCAAACCCTCATCCTTGGCTGCTGTTCTGTCAAACATGCTAAATGCTTTCAAAACATGCTTTGCAAGCAAACTAGTCAATACGGGCTGCTCTCAACCTCAGAACCTGGTGGGGATGGGCACGGTGCAGTAGACGAGATGGGACAGGGTTGGGAGGTGTCCATACCACACATAGCCCAGAAAGCCTGTAGCACACCCTAGTGCAGCCTTCAGACATGCAGCCCCTGCTAGTGCAGCTCGTGTCCCATTCAGCCCCTGGCTGCTTCAAAGCTGGACAGCTCTGATATACGGGTATACTGAAACAGGGGCTGCTGTCTGAAGTGCTAGCAAAATCAGGATATAATGGCCCAAGTGCTGCAATTACTCTGAAAACACAGTGACAAATGCAGTACAATTTCCCTTAAAAAGCATGATCTGTGCAAGTGCAAAAAATCCCATGTATACCCCAGGTAATTCAAGGAAGAGTCTGCATTTTCAATGCAGTTAGAGTCCATTCTACATCACCCACGCTACCACATCCATATGTCAAATGAGCAATGCTGGTTTATGACGGAGAGGGAACAGAGGCTTGTTCACTACTCTGTGGAAGAAGGGATGGCATACAGACATGAACATGACAACTGGGATGTCTCTCATGGTCATACTTCTTCAACTATCCATCTGTTTCTATAGGTCAATGCCGATTCACCAATCTATTGACCATGAAAAAGGTGGCAGTGATTCAGGAAATAGCATCTGGCTCTAATGAAGTGCATGAATTAGTACTGGTGTCCTAAGATAGGTCTTCCCTGCCTCCAGAGGAGTTAGAAGGGCTAAAAAAATCCTTACTGTGAGAAGATATCTCCATGGGAGCTCTGGTGCCCATCTTTTAATCCTTCCTCACCATATGTGTCATACTGCTTTCTCTTTTCCTCATCTGACAGTACCTGCAAGGGGTGAGCAAAAACAGACAATATATGTTAGCTCAAAACTGAATTGGGTTACTCAGGTATCTCAACTAAGATGAAATTTGACATTTTTTCTAAGTGATAAACAAGCAGCAGCAGACAAAGGCAGCTTTAATTATGGGCAGGACCCCCCAGTTAAACTGAAACCCAGGACTCCCCAGTTAAACTGACTCACCTTTAACAAGAGCTATAAACCTCCATTTTACAATCAGCTCATTAAAATGGCAAGAGCCAAATTACAGGGTAAAGTGCATTTTTATGGCAGGCTGAAAAATGATTTAAAAAGAACAAGAACACAGGCCCTGGCAGACATTACATTTATCACTCAATTTACGTGTTAATTGTGTGATAAAGGGTAATGTATATGCCATATGTTCAATCAACTTATGCAACAAAACAGCAAAGAAATCATGAAGATGTTCCACATATAATCACAGAATCAAAGACTAGGATTGGAAGGGACCTTGGGAGGTGAACTTGATCTAGTCCAACCCCTACTCAAAGAAAGACCAGCCTCAAAGCCTTGGCTGGGATGATCTAGTTGTCTAGCTAGGTCTTAAAACCTCCAAGGATGGAGAGTCCACAGTCTCCCTGGGTAACCTGCTTCAGTGCTTTACTACCCTCTTCGTGAGAAAGCTTTTCCTAATATCTGAACTAAACTTTCCTTGCTGCAACTTGAGCCCATTGCTTCTTGTTGTCATCTACCACTACTGCGAACAGTCCAGCTCCCTCCTCTTTTGAACCACTCTGCAGGGAGTTGAAAGCTCATTAAATCCATCCCCCTCTCAGTCTTCTCTTCCCCAGATTAAATAAGTCCAGTTCCCTTGGCCTCTCCTCACAAGTCATGTGCCCCAGCCCCCAAACCACTTTTGTTGCCTTCCACTAGACTCTCTCCAATTTGTCCACATCCTTTCTGCAGCGGGTGGCCCAAAACTGGGCAGTACTGCAGATATAGCTTCACCAGTTGGAGACCCTCAATCTTCTGGCAACGCTCCTACCAATGCAGCCCAGTATGTCATTAGCCTTCTTGGCAACAAGGACACACTATTGGCTCATTCAGCTTATTATCCACTGTAACCCCCAGGTCCTTTTCTGCAGAGCTCCTCCTTAGCCAGGTGGTCCCCAGACTGTAGTAGTTCATGGGATTGTTTTGTCTTAAGCGAAGGACTTTGAACTTCTCCTTACTGAAATTCATGAGGTTTCTTTTGGTTCAATCCTCCATTTTGTTAAGATTTATCTGAATCCTAGCACACTCTCCAGCATATTTACTATTCCCCACAGGTTGCTATAATCTACAAACTTGCTGAGGATTCACTCCATCCAATCTTCCAGGTCACTGATGAGGATGCACTCCATTCCATCATTTATGAGGGTGCACTCCATCCCATCTTCCAGGTCGTTCATGGGGAATATCTTTGTGGTTGGTTTGTATGTCACTTTAAACTGAACATGTGGCTTGGCACCAATGGGCTCCCCCTGCCCAGCAAACTTAAAGCCAGCATGGGGCTGCCTGGCACATGGGTTTACAGATGCTAGGCAAGGGAAGTCCATTAACTACCTTTGCCTAGCACCTGTAAAGCAAGAGTCATACAGCCCTATACTGGGTTGTACCACACATGGTTTTTAATTTGCCAGTAGATGCGGAAGTCAGGATTGTGATTCCAGGCTGTGTGTGTCAGGAAGTTGGAAGGGCACAACATGGAGTTCTGCATCACGGACTGGTCCTTGAAGCTGGGGACCGTGCACCAGCAGTTGCAGAACTGGGATATGACAAATTTTGTCCTAGAAAATTGCAAGTCCTGTCACACACATGTGTTAAATGGAAACAGATTTTCAGATGGTCTTTAGACTATACTTATGCAAGGCAAGTTGCACTGTACTTGCTAGCATGGCTAATGAAGAGCATCCTGCTTGGTGGGCAGCACTTATAATGTCCAGTGGCTGAACAAAGTGAGGGATGTAAGCCCTGTACACCAGAGGTATGCAACTTATCGCCTGCAGACTGGATTCAGCCTGTGAAGAGACCAGATCTGGCCCACAGCAGAGTAAATCCTCCTGGGAATACTGAATGTCCAGGAAGTGTGGCATCAGGAACTTCTTGGTGTAGCAGACTCTCTTGAGATGCTGCATTTACTAGACATACTATGTTCCCAGAAGGACTTAACTCTACATCACACATGGTTATGCCTCAGACCTTTGCAAACAATACAGTTTTTTCTTTACTGTAAGTAGTTCTTTACTTGAGTTCCTGTAAATAAAGTGCTGGTTTTTCATCACAAGTCTCATCAAGATACTACCAACAGCTAACTCTGTCCCTTTACTTTGTTGAGCAGACACAAGTCTCTCAGCTGCATCTTGGCAGCTGCATAGCATGCACAGTGTCTCCAAGCTTCCTTCTTTTCCAGAGACGGAAGTAGCTTCCTTACTTAAACATGCACCCAACTTTTGTGGGGAAGGATGAATATTGTACCTGAGAAAAATACAGTGTGTGACATATAGGCAAGACTTCTGAAATGGATGTTAAGACCTGGAGAACAGAAATGGATTGCACCTGCACTTTTCGCAAAGGTGCTGATAGTAGTATTAATGCTATACAACCAAAATCTGCAGTTGTAGTCACTGTACACCTAGTGCTTTCACTTCTAGCATAACTTTAAAAGCACTCTACTGGTGTACAGCTCTGTGTAGAAGGAGAAGTGAATGGAGCAAGTCAAAAGTATTCCCTCCTGGTCTGCTAATACAGTACTCTTCTAGTCTCAGTCTCAGAGACTGGATCTTGTTTTGAAACAAATTAATTTTTAAGAAAATTAAATTATTCACTGAAGCTCAAAAGGGCATTTCTGTGATTTTTTTCACAATAAGTAGTAGCTGAATTTGATTCCATTTTCTGTCTCAAAAATGTTTATCTACAATCTTTCAATATTTAGGATTTTAAGTTGTAAAGACTAGTGAATATGGCTAATCTTAAAATTAAGGAACTATTCATATGGCATATATCTTTATAGGATGGGATCTATTTGCATTTGATGGCATTTTGTGCAGGAGAAAAATGCTATTCCAATTTGTGGGGTTCTTTAAAATAATAACAATAGTTAGAACTTTTTTAAAGGAGGAAAACCTGATGTAAAATCATAAATAAGCAAAGAAGTCCTTGTGTTATGTATGGCAATGACGACAGCTTCTTAAATTAGCTAGATTTCATTTTAACAGTGTCCCTTCAAAGAATTTTCATTGCACTGCTGAATACCAGTCAGGAATTATTAAGTTTTAAGTGTTCACACAGACATTTCTGTCTGCCGACATCACTTATAGCGCTTTGTGTGTCATCTTCTAAATGTGACGCAGGAAAGAACAATGACATTCCTCACTTTGCCATCACAGGCTGCTGCTTGCAACCCAGTCTCTATTGCAGGACACACCCCACACCTTTCTGGTGATCAGCAAATGATGCAAAGGGAGTAGTGTAGATAGAAAAAAGCAGCTGTTAAAACCCCAGGGATGCTTCCTCTGTTGCTGTGGCTGGAGTGTGCTGCCAATTCCACAACAGAAAAAAAACAATATTTTTTCCACAATATTTCTCCCTTCCAAAAACAAGAAGTGTTTTACTTTGGGGGCACACTGTATGCAAAAAAGGTAAATAGAATGGATTCTCTTACTCAAGTAGCACCTTAAACTGGGAAATGAGAAGGGGGGTGGTGAATGACCACACAGAAGTGACCTACTGAAATGGCAACTATGGGAACCATTGTGGAACTAACTGAAAGGCCAGTGCTTTAGGATAAAGTAGTCCAGCACAAGTGAGAGAGGAACCAATCACCTGAACACAATTCCGAGTTGATTATAAAGCAACTTTTTCATTTAGCAAAGTCCATCTGTGGGGTGGAGAATTTTCTGCTTTGAATCAGCGTAGGCACATAAATTATTGCCAGCTAAGCTACGGTGTAAGCTTGCTGCATGTCAGCTACTTTGCAATAACTGGTCACATGCACATGTTTTTCCTGTAAATAGGATGTAGCTTACCCCTCAAAAAAGTGGGACAAACTAACTGGCATTAGTGTAGGATAAGAACATGTATGCAGTTATGGTAAATTAGCCAAGATGCAGTCAGTTCACACCTTATCTCAGTAATTTGTGCATGAATATTGTGCCTGCAGGCAGGATCTTCCCTAGAACTCACCCAGCTGGGTTCCATGATGATGTATGCAGAGATAATTGGTTGAGACAGCACTAGGCCTTGGCTACAACAGATGAGGCAAGCAAATATGGAAGTGGAAGAGGAGACATGAGTATCAGATAACTCGGGGCAGAGCACCACAACTGGTAAAGCCAGCCTGAAGCTATCATTATTTTCTGAACCTTGTTATGGCAAATCTTCCTCAGAACTCTATGTTTTAACAGAGTGGGAGGGAAGACATGTTATAGGTTCTTGATCATGGGATCAGAAAGGCAGCTTTACAAAACCTGCACATGTCCCACCTCAGGGGCAAAATGCTGAATACTTTGCCTTCTGGTTGGTAAGATAAAAATCAGTCTATTAATGGAGAGTTCCCACTTCATATGGAGTCTTTCCAATCTTCATTCATCACTAACAGAGCTCTTCTTACTTGCCTGATCTACAGTTTTTCTTGGATTTCAGCAAGGCCTTCGATACAGTATCTCATCCTATTCTCATAAATAAATTATGAGGCTGTGACAGATGTTAACAAGGTCCAGTGGGTGGCAAACTGGCTTAGTGGTCACACCCAGACAGTGGTAGTAGATAGGTTGGTATCGACTTGGAAGGAGGTGGGTAGTGGGGTCCCGCAGGTTTCGGTCCTTGGACCTGTATTCTTCAATATCTTTATCAATGGCTTGGATGTAGGTGTGAAGCGTATGGTCCACAAACTTGGACAGAGAACTAAGTTGTGGAGTGAAATGCACGCTCCGGAGGGTAGGGAATGATTGAAGGCAGACCTGGACATATTAGAAAAGTGGGCAGTACACAATAGGATGAAGTACAACAAGGACAAGTGAAGAGTGCTGCACCTAGGGTGCAAAAATATCCAGCACATCTACTGGCTGGGAAGTGACCCTCTTAGCAGCACAGAAGCGGAATGGGATCTCAGAGTCACAGCGGACTCCAAGATGAACAAGTCAGTCTGACGAAATCATCAGCAAAACTAACCGCACTTTATCATGCGTCAGCAGATGCAAGACGAATAGATCCAAGGAGGTGATACTTTCCCTCTGTGTGGCATTGATCAGACCGCAATTGGAGTAGTGTATCCAGTTTTGGGCACCCTACTTCAAGAAGGATGTTGACAGACTCGAGAGGGTCCAGAGGAGGGCCACTCATATGGTTAGGGGGTTACAGGACAAGCCCTATGGGGGAAAAGACTGAGGGACCTGGACATCTTCAGCCTCTGCAAGAGAAGGCTGAAAGGTGATCTTGTGGCCACCTACAAATTCATTAGGGGGACGCAGCAAGGGATCAGAGATTTCCTTAGGTAAGTCAGGCCATAGACCAATCACATAAAATCATTTGACTGCAGGTAAATATTATCAAATATTGCATGATGCCAAGAATGCCACCCATCTCCTCTTTTTTTTTTTTTTTTAAATATCACAGTGTCACCTATTAGCAAGGGCAGGACTGAGGTCTCCGTGCCCTCCTGCCCTGCCAAAATTAGGACTCACATATGAACACACCATTTCAGAGAAGTGCTCCATATCCTGCCCCTGACTCTCAAATTCATCTCGTCTCCTCCCCCTTCCTGTGTTAAGTAACACAGAGCCACTGGAGCTACTCTGTGCTGAGGTAGGAACCAACAGTATAGAATTGCTATGTGGTTTTTATGTCCGTTTCATTTTTCCCCCCCTAATTTGTAAAGGTTTGGATTGACCCTGGGGTTGGGAATAAAAGCCAGGGAGAAGAAAAAGAAGTGTTCAGTCTCAAATGTATGTTTATCTAACAATGTTAGCTGTTGTCATTCACCACCCTTTTTTAGGATTTAATTTCATTATTCCACAAAACTAGTTCACCAACTTGGTTTTTTGGAATTAGCACAAATTTCTAACCTATCGAAGACTAAAGTATCTCTACTTTTCAAGAAATAAATGCTTAAAATACTTGTCCATTATTTGACATTTTGCTGGTCAACTGCCTGAGTATTTTCTGACTGGGCAAATACTCAACCCTAATGCCCTCAGACATTTGCAACAGCTACAGCAATCACCTTGATCAGGGGCTGTTGACCTACAGCCTTTAGCCAGATCCAAGGTGGGACAACACAGGGGACTGGAGGCACACAGCTGTGTCATGACACCCATGTCTCTTGGGGTCTTCCCTGCCACTCTCTTGCACCTGTCCTTACCCTTGCTGTAGACTGTGCCTTTCTCCATTGCCCCTGGGGGCAGGGCTCAACAGGCAGGGTAAGCACAGGTGGGCTTAGGTGCTCCAGGGAGCAGAGATTTGTGGCCTGTGGCTCTGGCCAGATAGAAAGCAGCACTGTGCAGATGCAGATCGATCCCTGATCTATACTTTCTGGTTGCAGAAAAAGTAACTGCTGACAGGATGCCTAGCAAACAACAAGGTATCCAGAACCCTCTCCAAGGATCAGCAAACTCAGTCAATGAAAGAGTTATGTGCCTTTCCTCCTTACCTTCTCTTCCACTATCACCCAACTCTGGAAATAAGACTTGGAATCTAGCATTTGGCCTGTGACCACTGCTAGAAGCCTTACATGGATGGGGGAAATAAAAATCCCATATTTTCCATTAGCAAAGATGAGGCTTTCTGCAATCTTCCTCTCCCAGCTATGGTAGACAAACTTGACTGGCATGTCCCTTTTGCTGCTGCAACTTATCACCAGGGCATTATAAATCAGCATTAAAATATATGACTGATGCACACTGGAAGGGCACTGCTGGATATAAAGGACCTTTTCCCATGCACTCCTACATGAGCAAAGACACCAACTATGCAGGAAGGGCGAGATTTGTATTAGTGCTGCAAGCAGGTACCTGGTTAACTCACTGACCTCATAGGCTGCACCCAGGTCCTGGAACTTCTCTTGTGCACGTGGATCGTCGGGGTTGCGATCTGGATGAAGCTGCAGGGCTAGTTTCCGATAAGCTTTTTTAATATCTTTTATTGATGCACCACGGGACACCCCCAGAATCTTATAGAAATCCCTCCTGAGAAACGCAGGACAAAGAAAGCATTCAGTTGCAGCTCCAACTTGGGTGCAAGCCTGGTGTACTATTCAGAAGCACCAAAGCATCCCTCTCCTCCCCCCACCCTCCCGACAGTCAGCACTGTTATTTTCACTTCACAAAAGGGGGAACTGAGATGCAAACAGATTCAGCAGGTGGCTTAAGAGGAATTCTAGGGCAGAACTGAGATTCAGACCCTGGTCTCCCAGGCCCCAGTTCAGTGCTCTGCTAAGGATATCCTGGGGTCCCCTGTAGAGTGAAGTGATGGAGACTGACCCACGGCCAAAATGGATATCCTTGATACAGCCAGGATCAGAAGTTTGCCGAGTCCCAACCCAGGGCCTTAACAAGCACCGTTCTTGCCTCCCATCAACCAGCATCCAGGAGGCTGCAGCCTGGGTGCTGTCCCCAATTCAGTGCCCATGCTTCTCCCTTCTTCATCCCCACATACTTCACCAGGCAAGGCTGGCAACAGGGAAAGCAACCTGCGTCACACTATACTACCCTCTCAATACCCCAAAGCCCATGGGCCAGAGGCATTGACGGGTGTCAAGGGTACCCAGCCCTGGGGACTGAGACAATGAGCAGAACAGAGAAAGAGATGCCTGGGTGCAGATGCTGAATATGTAGGCCAAGGGTGGCCAAGCTGCCCTACAGGGTGCCACAAGTGGCACGGGCAGCACCTGTGTGTAGGACAGCAGGTGGGGCAGATAGGGGAGGCGACTGGGGGCAGACAGGACAAGGGGCAGAGGAGCCAATCCAGCAGGAAGCACAGGGCAGAGAGCAAAGCAACTGATTGGGAGGGGAGCAAAGGGAGGGCAGCAAAGTAGCTGATCAGGCAGAGAAGCAGATCATTGAGCAACTGATCAGGCAAAGCAGGGAACAGATCACAGAGCAAGGGATAGGGCAGAAACAGGGCAAGCAGCAGAGCACAGAGGAATGGAGCAGGGAGCACAGGGAAAGGAGCAGAGCTCAGAGCAATCGATTGGTCAAGGCAGGCTGCATGGCACAATACAGGAGTGGGGGTGGGGAGCCGAGAGAAGAGCAAGTGATGGGGTAGGGGGCACAGGGCAGGAAGCAGAGCACAGAGCAACCGATGGGGCAGAAGCGGGGGTGGGGTGGGGGCAGAGCGCGGGCAGGCGGCAGGTGGGGGCTGTGGCTGCTTGTACTCACCCAGCAGTGGCCTCCCCGAGCAGGCAGAGCAGCAGCAGACAGAGGCGACCGAGCGCGCGGCGGGACATGGCAGGGCCGGGCCGCGGCGCAGGCCTCACTCGCCGGTAACCATGGACATGAAGCAGAGCCCGGCGAACGCCGCGGACCAATGGGCGCCCAGCGCGGCGCAGACCGGCGGCCAATCCAAACTGCACACTTCACCACCCGGCTGGCCTAGCCGGCCAATCCCCGCCCTCGTCGTCAGCGATCAGCGCCTTCGTAGCCGCAGCCCGCGAGCCAATTGCAGCGCAGCCACTGGGTTCCGCGTTCCAGGCCCGCAGGAAGCGTTCTCCTGGCAGGCGCAACCAATCCCAGCGCGGGAGCGCAAGCCCGCCCCCCCACCGCAAGGCACCAATCGGCGACTCGCAAGTGACACAAGCCGAATTCCTCCAATGGAAAGAGGACAGGGCGATGCTCGTGGCTGGCAGCCTGTGCGCCTGGGCGGACCTGGTGGGGCGCGGCTGTGCCGCTGTGCGGTGCAGGTGTGTAACAGTGGACGCATCAGTCATTCGTGCACCGTAATTACAGCGCCTTGAGTTCAGGAAAAACAAGTACCGACTTAATGCGCTGCAATCGACGCTACTGGCAGCAGACTTAATTCTGACCCAACAGTGCGCAGCAGGCCAATTCTACTGCACACTGACAGCTCTCGCCGTGATGCACTAGTCTACTGCGCTTCTAGCGGCTCGCGTAGACGCGGGCAGTGGACGGTGGTGACTTGAATTTGTGCTTGTGGGAGTCTAATGGTTTACAGAAATCAGATTTGCTTCTTGTTGACCCAAACCCATTAAGAACGAGATGCGCCCCGCGGTCAGCGGACCAATTTAGCCAAGAGATCCTGTTTATTACGCTCCAAGGACATGCAGTCACCACACACCCAGGTCACACCCGTGCTACAGGCACAGCTGGCTGCAGGGAGACAAAACTCCGGATCAGTGCAGGACGCAGGGCCCGCTGGCTTGTGGTCCCTGGCGGAGGCATCACGCACTTTACGCTTGTGAAGCAAGCGGGCCAGGCAGCCCCTGCTACAAACTTTGTGGGAAGCAGCTCGCCCACACAGGAGGGCAGGAACGGGAACTACCCTCACCCAGGGATGTGCGGGTTGAGCCTAGCAGCTTGCAGCTGAACCGGAGTTGCGGGGTGCATAGGACCCTGCCCCTATACATCCCTATAGAGTGATTCTTGGCACAGGCGGGTAGCACAACCTAGGGCTCCCCGTGCTGGACCTGGATCCGACTCCACTGGCAGGGCTGCGGAGCACAGCCCGGCTCTGCCACTGCTTAACCCAACTAGCCCAAGACTATCAGCAGCGCACGCGCCCCCACTTGCGCTCGGAGGAGGAAGTGCGGGTTTGTCTAGCTACCAACTCACTGCTCCGGCAGAGCGCGCATGCGCGGCGAATAGCGCGCCCGTTAGAACGCGAGCGGGAGCCTAGTTCCGGGCGCGCAGGCGCAGAAGGCCGCGGCGGCTGGCTGAGGGGGGCGCGGCCACCATGGCGGAGCCGGCCG